TTGACTCCTGCTGTTCTTCTCTGGGTAACTGCATTTATCTGCTACCTCCACTCTTAACCAGACAAACGCATTGACTCCTGCTAAATTCTGAACAAATGTTGTAATTATATCTGTGTATCTGTTGACTTGTCCTCACCTCTAGGCGCACTCAGGTTTATGACTGTGGCCTGGTTCCTAAGAAACATCCCCCACTATTCATGTGAGCCTTATCAGCTTCTAATTGGGGCGGAGTTGAATGCTCATTTGAGCATCTCCCTATAAATTTAGTTCAGCTCATGGGGAAGATCTCTGATGGGGGTGCTGCTTATGATGGAGTGCGGCTTTGAATGAGTGCAGAGCAGTTAAACACAGCAGTTGAACTAAAGCAGGAGAACGTAAGCAGCAGGAAGACACAAACAACAGCAAGAAACTCTACTGCATGCTGGACAGACTGCAAGGAAACATCTTTTACATACCTGAGTCCCACTCCACGTACCTTTTATATAATACACCCCTCTTCTCCTCTTCATATTACTATCCTCTGTTCCCAAATCTCATTTCTTTACCCCTCTGCTCCACCCAAAAACTTGTACATCTACCCCTCATTGCTATCATCTCCCTACTATTGCTTTCCATCACCTCCCCAAAATGCCTCTTCCACTCCTCCTTCTCATTTTCCTCTCCTCTGTTCCCAAAATCCATTCACTATATCCCTGTGCTCCTCCCAAACATTTGTATATTGTGCCCTCACTGCTTCCCTCACCCCTCTATGGCACCCACCACCTCCTCCTATTACTCCACTCTCCCACTGACCCAAACACCTCCACTAGTAGTTTCTCACGCTCCTGCACATCCCGCTCCCATGCCCACCTTTCTCACTCCTTCTCCTCCTCCACATATAAAAACCGCGGGGACCATCTCGCCCCAAATTCCCTGGCCCTGCCACCACCTCCCCTCACCCGCACAACACCCTCCCGCCCTCCACGACCCCTGCTGCAAACCCCGCAACTTACTATCTGTCCCCCTGCTCCCTAAAATCTCCCCCCCCCGTTTTCATGTGCACTCCTGAACGCCCGATCGTGTGTGCAACAAGCTTAACGCCACCACGACCTCTTTGTTTCCCGCTCCCTCAACCTCCTGGCGATTACGGAAACCTGGATCCAGCCCACTGACTCTACCTCCCCTGCTGCACTCTCCCTACGTGAGGTCTCACCTGGACCCACACACCCAGGCCCAACGGTCGTAAAAGGTGGTGGGGGTTGGCTGCTCCTGTCACCACTGAGCACCTTCTGAGCTCCTCCCAAACCCCCCTCTGTCCTATCCTTCTCCTCCTTTGAGCCCACTGCGTCGACTATTCTCCCCAACCCCCCTGAAGATTGCTGTGATATACCGGCCTCCTGGACCTGTATCCCGCTTGCCTGGAAGACTTCTCCTCCCCCTGGCTACCCTTCTTCTTCTCCTCTGAGCTACCCACTATCATCCTTGGGATTTCAACATCCCTGTCAAAACCTCGACACCCGGACACAGCCCGTCTCCTCCACTTAACCTCCTCCTTTGCACAGTGCATACAATCCACCACCACACTCCGACGGTAATATCCTTGATCTTGTCTTCTTCAACCGCTGCGCTCAACACAAAATCCCCACCAACCTCACCTAACACCCCCTTCCCTCTCTCTGACCACAACCTGATTACCATCTCAATCTCCTCATCCTCCAACGCCTACCCCTCCAAATGTCACACTTCTACCAGCCGTAACCTCCGCAACCTTAACCCTGCTCCCCTCCACTCCGTAGCAGCTGATCAACTCCATGACCGCATCCTCCCCCTGTCCTGCCCCGACTTGGCTATGACCGCCTTACAACAATGCGCTGTGTCAACAGCCCTTGACTCACTAGCGCCTTTAAACCACTCGCAACATCAGACCCCGACGCTCCAGCCCTGGCAGACTGATCACACCAAAACCCTCAAACGACACAGTCGGTGCCCTGGAGCGACTATGGCTCCGCAAAACCAAATCCCAACAAGCCTTCACCCGATACAAATCTGCCTTCCACACCTACTCCCACACTGTCAGGAATGGACTGGCCAGCAATGGTGGGACTCACCTGCCTTTTAGATCTGCAGTACCAGGGCTGGCCATCGGGTGCTCCCAGCAATCAGTGACTCAACCTTTCAGCCAGCTAACACCTGGAACTGATGATACTGGTGTATTTAAGGATGGCCAGACTTGCCAGACTCGGCCTTGGTGTTGTGTTTTGTCCTGAGGCCCTGTATCTGTCCTGCATCCTGTTTCTCTGTTCCTTTGCTACTGTGTTCTGATCCCTGCGCTTGTGACCCTGACCATCCCTCTGCCTGGAACCCTCTGTACTCCGCTGCTTGCTACTGTTCTGATCCCTGGGCTTGTGACCCTGACCACCCTCATGCCTTGACCCTCTGTACTACGCTGCTTGGACTATACTGCTGAACCTGGCCTGTGACCCCGGACCATTCTCCGCATTGCTCCCCCTGTACCACACCTGCCCAATTGATATTGACCTCGGCCTGCTGACGACGCTTGCGTGCTTGTATGTACTGTTATCTGTGGTGGTTGGTTGGGTTTGTTTGCACTGTTTATGTTTAGTATTGCACATGCGTTTATGTTTTTATTGTTAGTGTTAATAAATTACATTGTTAATCACATATCTGAAGTCTGCGTTTCCTGCTTCAGTCACACCACCTCTGGTGCATACCTGGGGAGCCCTGACATTACACCAAGGCCAATCCTGACCAGAAGTGGCTGCACAGGGAAGCCATCTTTGGCTTGTTGAGGGAAGGATGGATCAGGATGAGGTTGTGTATTAATTTTATATCTGCTAGTGTTTGATGACAGGAGTATGCTTATCAAACTCTGAAGGAAGTATACCCGGGATGAACTGCTAGAATGTATACGGCTCGCTCATGCTCTAGTAGATCAGGGCACAGAGTTCTCTGAGGGTGCAGCCTTTGATTGAGGTTTGTGCACGAGTTGGTTTCATTCTGGTTCCCCCGAATGCAGGGATGAATTTTTGCCACCATTTAGTGCAGACCAGGTAGAGTCCCTGGTGTGGTTATTTAGAGGATGATGTGGGTTACTTTCTGGAGCGTTATTCCACATGTTCACCACAGACACTAAGAGATTTATAAACGCAGTGCAGTCAATGACCAGACAGGCTTTGGGTAAGCTCAGCTTTGTTCAACCCATACTGCAGACATGGACAGACTTGTTGCACGCCAGCCTCAGTCAGCTTACAAAAAGCCAGTCCTGCTTCTAACTCTACTCCTGTATTCCCAACAGCTCCTCCAGTTACAGCCCAGTATACTTGGCTATCTACCGCATGTCAGTACCCTGTTCCCACCTTCGCTGCACCTATCCTGCCTTTAACCCTGTAAAAAAGCCCTCTGTAGCAACTGCTTCTGCTCCCTCCTCTCTGTTCCATCCTCCAGTTCTTCTCTGTCTCCAGCTGCTCCATTCGTTGTGCTAGACCTGCGTTTACTTGCAGTGCCCCAGTAGTTTAAAACAGAAAAAAGCGAAACATTCTTTCCAACCAATACCATCCTGCCAGTATCCAAATCGGTGAGCCTTGGCCTTCCGTGTTCAGCCCTAAGCCTCTACTCTCTACTTCTCGGCCTGATGCCTGTACGCTGGCCTGATGCCTCTACTCGGCCTGATGTGCCTCTCTACTCGGCCTGAAGCTCTACTCGGCCTGATAGCCTCTACTCGGCCTGATGCCTCTACTCGGCCTGAAGCCTCTACTCGGCCTGAATGCCTCTACTCGGCCCTGAGCCTCTACTCGCCCTGAAGCCTCTACTCGGCCTGAAGCCTCTACCTACTCGGCCTGATGCCTCTACTCGGCCTGAAGCCTCTACTCGGGCCTGATGCCTCTACTCGGCAGACGCCGGCATTCAGAGCCTGATGCCTCTACCCAGCATGATTGAACTGATCCAGCCTGACGATCCTATTAGGCCAGTTGACTCGATGCCCGCTGTTGACTCCCAGATGATCCCGGTACCTGATCCGCGTGCCCGCTGTCGTGCCAATTGAACTCAGAGCCCGCTGTCGTACCTGGTGACTCGGTGCCCACACTGCCTTGCCCAATGACGCAGGTGCCCGCTGGCGAGGCCAAATGGACCTGATGCCTGGTGACCCAGTGCCCGCTGTCATACCTGGTGACCCGATGCCCGCTGTCGAGGCCGGACGATCCAATGCCCTGGTGACCCCGGTTGCCCCACTGCCTTGCCAGATGACGCGGTGCCTCTGGCAAGCCAAATGACCTGATGACCTGGTGACCCAGGGCCCGCTGTCATACCTGGTGACCCGATATGCCTGGCTGGTCGAGCCAGACAATCCGGTACCTGATGACCCGGTGGCCACCACGTGGCGTGCCTGTTGACTCGGAGCCCACCACTGCCTTGCCAGATGACGCGGTGCCCGGCTGGGTCGAGCCAAATGACCTGATGCCTGGTGACCCGATGCCCGCTGTCCAGCCAGACGATTCAATGTCTGCCCCAGTAGGCCCGCGGTCATGCCAGTTGACTCGGAACCCACTGCCTTGCCAGATGACGTGGTGCTCGCTGTCAAGCCAACATGACTTGATGCCTGGTGACCCGATGCCCGCTTGTCCAGTCAGACGATCCAATGTCTGACCCAGTGCCCGCGGTCATACCAGTTGACTCGGAGCCCACTGCCTTGCCAGATGACGCGGTGCCCGCTAGTCGAGCCAAATGAACCTGATGCCTGGTGACCCGATGCCCGCTGTCCGGTCAGACGATCCAATGTCTGACCCCAGTGCCCGCGGTCATACCAGTTGACTCGGAGCCCACTGCCTTGCCAGATGGACACTGGGGTGGTGCGTTGTGCGGGCACCTCGTGGTCGGCGCCGCTGCCCCCGTCTCTCTGTCGAGCCAAATGACCTGATGCCTGGTGACCCGATGCCCGCTGTCCAGCCAGACGATCCAATGGTACTGACCTAGTTGCCCCCCAGCGGTCATGCAGTTGACTCGGAGCCCACTGTCGTGCCTGGTGACTCGGTGCCCGACTGCTCCGCCTGGTGGCCCCGGAGACCTGTCGCTCCGCCTGAGGGCCCCCAAGACCTGTCGCACCGCCTGGGGGGGTCCGGCGCCCGCCGCTCCGCCTGAGGGCCCCGAGACCTGTCGCTCCACCTGGGGGGCGCAGTCCGCCCGCCGCTCCTACCTGAGGGCCCGAGACCTGTCGCTCCACCTGGGGGGTCTTTTCCGGCGCCCGCCGCTACCGCCTGAGGGCCCCGAGACCTGTCGCTCCACCTGGGGGGTCCGGCGCCCGCCGCTCCGCCTGAGGGCCCGCGAGACCTGTCGCTCCGCCTGCCTGGGGTCCGGCGCCCGCCGCTCCGCCTAGGGCCCGAGACCTGTCGCTCCGCCTGGGGGCCCGAGACTGTCGCTCCACCTGGGGGTCCGGCGCCCGCCGCTCCGCCTGAGGGGGCCCCGAGACCGTCGCTCCACCCGGGGGTCCGGCGCCCGCCGCTCCGCCTGAGGGCCCGAGACCTGTAGTTCCGCCTGGGGGCCCGATGCCTGTCGCCCCGCCTGGGGGCCCGATGCCTGTCGCCGCCCCGCCTGGGGGCCCGATGCCTGTCGCTCCACCTGGGGGTCCGGCGCCCGCCGCTCCCGCCTGAGGGCCCGAGACCTGTAGTTTCCGCCTGGGGGCCCGATGCCTGTCGCCCCGCCGGGGGGGCCCGATGCCTGTCGCCCCACTCGGGGGCCCGAATGCCTGTCGCCCCGCCCGGGGGCCCGATGCCTGTCGCCCCGCCCGGGGGCCCGAGGCCTGTCGCCCCGCCCGGGGGCCCGAGGCCTGTCGCCCCGCCCGGGGGCCCGAGGCCTGCCGCTCCGCCCGGGGGGCCCGGTGCCCCGGGCCCCGCTCCGCCCGGGGGGGCCCGGGGCCCTGCCGCTCCGCCCGGGGGGCCCGGTGCCTGCCGCTCCGCCCGGGGGCCCCGGTGCCTGCCGCTCCGCCCGGTGGCCCGCTGCCTGCCGCTTCGCCTGGTAGCCCGATGTGCCTCTGCTCGGGGTCCTGCCCGATGTGCCTCTGCCCGGAGTCCTGCCCGATGTGCCTTCTGCCCGGAGTCCTGCCCGATGTGCCTCTGCCGGAGTCCAGCCCGATGTGCCTCTGCCCGGAGTCCAGCCCGATGTGCCTCTGCCCGGAGTCCAGCCCGATGTGCCTCTGCCCGGAGTCCCAGCCCGATGTGCCTCTGCCCGAGTCCTGCCCGATGTGCCTCTGCCCGGAGTCCTGCCCGATGTGCCTCTGCCCGGTGTGCCTCTGCCCGGAGTCCAGCCCGATGTGCCTCTGCCCGGAGTCCAGCCCGATGTGCCTCTGCCCGGGAGTCCAGCCCGATGTGCCTCTGCCCGGAGTCCAGCCCGATGTGCCTCTGCCCGGAGTCCAGCCCGATGTGCCTCTGCCCGGTGTGGCTCTGCCCGGTGTGCCTCTGCCCGGAGTCCAAGCCCGATGTGCCTCTGCCCGGTGTACCGCTGCCCGGAGTCCTGCCCGGTGTGCCAGTCTTTGATATCCCGCCAGTTACCAGACCCGGGCGGTGGAACATTTTTCCCAGCTAGGACTGTTTGGAGCGTCCTGAGGCCGCTCCTTGAGGGGGGGGTACTGTCAGGAATGGACTGGCCAGCAATGGTGGGACTCACCTGCCTTTTGATCTGCAGTACCAGGGCTGGCCAGCGGGTGCTCCCAGCAATCAGAGACTCAACCTTTCAGCCAGCTAACACCTGGATACTGATGATACTGGTGTATTTAAGGGAGATGGCCAGACTTGCAGACTCGGCCTTGGTGTTGTGTTTGTCCTGGGCCCTGTATCTGTCCTGCATCCTGTTTCTGTTCCTTTGCTACCTGTTCTGATCCCTGGCTTGTGACCCTGACCATCCCTCTGCCTGACCCTCTGTACTCCGCTGCTTGCTACCTGTTCTGATCCCTGGCTTGTGACCCTGACCACCCCTCTGCCTGACCCTCTGTACTACGCTGCTTGCTACCTGCTGAACCTGGCCTGTGACCCCGACCATTCTCCGCTTGCTCCCCCTGTACCTACCTGCCCAATTGATATTGACTCGGCCTGCCTGACGACGCTTGCTGTATGTACTGTTATCTGTGGGTGGTTGGTTGGGTTTGTTTGCACTGTATTATGTTTAGTATTGCACTGCGTTTATGTTTGTATTGTTAGTGTTAATAAATTACATTGTTAATCACATATCTGAAGTCTGCGTTTCCCTGCTTCAGTCACACACCTCTGGTCATACCTGGGAGCCCTGACACTCCACACTGCCAAACAAGTCTACTTCCTGACCCTCATCAAGGCCCTCTCCTCCAATCCTCGCCGACTCTTCTCCACCTTCAACTCTCTACTCTCGCCACCCCCACCTCCACCCAGCACCTCACTCACTGCCCTTGAGATTGCCAATCACTTCAAAAACAAGATTGACACAATTCGCAAGGACATTGCCGCAACTCACACGCCTTCTCAACCCGTCCCCTCTCACACAGCTACCCCCTCATCCCCCCTCCCCCCTCGACATAACCCACAGGGACTTCGTCGCTGCTCAAACTCCCTCCAACCCCTTCCCCCTCACTCAGCTACCCCCTCTACACCCCTCTCCCACGGCCCCACCACTGCTCTGACCTCCTCTCCCACCCCACCCTACATTCCTCATACTGAAGTTCCCCCAACACTCCGCACCTTTGACCTTACTACCATCAAAGAAGTCTCCAAGATCCTCTCTGATGCCCGCCTCACCACCTGCCCCCTCGACTCTATCTCCTCACAACTCCTACAACCTCCCTCCCCCTCCATCCTACGCTCCCTCACCCACATCTTCAATCTCTCCCTCTCCTCCGGCACTTTCCCTTCCCCTCTGAAACATGCACAAATCACCCCCATACTTAAAAAGCCCTCCCTGGACCCCAATGACCCGAACAACCTCAGACCCATCTCCCTGCTCCCATTTACATCTAAACTCCTCGAGCGCCTAGTCTACGCCCGCCTATGCTCTCACCTCAACGACAACAACCTCCTCGATCCCCTACAGTCCGGCTTCTGTCCCCTACACTCCACCGAAACTGCCTTACTCAAACTCTCCAACGACCTGCTAACCGCCAAAGCTAATGGCCACTATTCAGTGCTCCTACTCCTTGACCTATCTGCGGCCTTTGACACAGTCGACCACCCCCTCCTCCTCAAAAAACTACACTCCCTCGGCCTCAGAGATTCTGCTCTCTCCTGGCTCTCATCCTACCTGTCACAACGCTCTTTCAGCGCTACCTATAATGCCACCACCTCCCTCTCACTCCCCCTCTCTGTTGGGGTCCCTCAAGGCTCTGTCCTCGGGCCCCTTCTCTTCTCCATCTACACCTCCTCCCTTGGCCAACTCATACACTCTCACGGCTTCAACTACCACCTCTATGCCGACGACACACAAATCTATCTCTCAACCCCCCACCTCACCCCCTCGGTCTCCGCCCGAATCACACACCTGTTGAGCGACATATCAGACTGGATGTCGCTTCACTTCCTTAAACTGAACCTCTCCAAAACCGAGTTTCTTGTCTTCCCTCCAGCCCGGACACCACCCCCCTTTGACTTCTCCATCATGTCCAACAACGCCACCATCAAACCCGCCCCGCAGGCCAGAGTACTTGGTGTCATTTTGGACTCCAACCTATCATTCCAGCCCCAAGTCCACTCTTTAACAAACTCGTGCAGACTCCACCTCCGCAACATCGCCAAAATCCGCACGTTCCTAACTCCAGAAACCACTAAACAGCTCATCCACTCCCTCATCATATCACGACTCGACTACTGCAACTCCCTCCTCACTGGCCTGCCTCGCCGCTGGCTATTCCCGCTTCAGTCCATCCTGAATACGGCTGCCAGATTCATTCACCTTTCCAACCGCTCCGTTTCCGCCACCCCCCTCTGCCAATCCCTCCACTGGCTTCCGATTGCGCAACGGATCAAATTCAAAATCCTAACACTGACGTACAAAGCCGTCCACCATACTGCCCCGAACTACATCACTGACCTAATATCCAAGTACCGCCCAGCACGCACACTCCGCTCCTCACAAGACCTCCTTCTCTCTAGTTCCCTGGTCTCCTCCTCCCATGCCCGCCTCCAGGACTTCTCCAGGGTGTCACCCATCCTCTGGAACTCCCTGCCCCAACCCATCAGATTATCACCTACTCTCCTCTCCTTTAGGCGCACCCTGAAAACCCATCTCTTCAGGGAAGCCTACCCTGCCCCCTGCTAACTTGCCGACCTCCTCCACTCTTCCTACCACTCCATCCCCCACAGCTATCTCCTCCTGTGCCACCATCCCCTCCCTCCTAGATTGTAAGCTCAAAAGAGCAGGGCCCTCGATCCCCTCATGTTTTGCATTGTATTGGTACTGTTCTGTCACATATTCTGTTCCCCTCTGTAATGTACAGCGCTGAGCGAACTATTGGCGCTTTATAAATACTGTATAATAATAATAATAATAAGCAGTGAAAAGGGTGGTCATTCTATATTTAACCATTGTAAATCCTTTGGATCCCTCAATCTCGCAGATGTACAGATAATATGGCCACTCTGCTTGTATTAGCCACTTTGTAAGTATCTCGTTGGAATCTATTTATAGATGTTAAAAGAAAGCATGCAGAGGCTTTAATTGATAGCCTGAAATATCATAATTAATAACCAAATATACCAGGATAATCATGTATTCTCAGTTGAACTTCTGTCTAGCCGAAGTGTTTAAAATGCGTGCAACACTGGCTGCTTGGAACAACTTTTCAACTACTTCCACAACTGATTTTATATGACATCTTACAAATGTTTTTCTGTTAATAAATAGTTATCCTTGAAATATGAATTCTGACATACAGTCTAGTTTTTTTTAAATTAAAACTCTTGAGTGAATGTATTCATTTTTTGGACAACAACATACTGTATTATCTATATACTTGCCCAGAATAAAGGGATTGGTTACTAGATTTCAATCTTCTCAACACGTTCAGATGTTCTTTAAAGTGGCATTAAAGCCAAAACCAAAAATGTAATATATTGCAGCTTACTATTCCTTAGATGTGGTGGCCGAATTGGGTTTCTTTTTAGGGCCATATTCATTCTGTTTTCACATGGAGATCTGGCCAGTAACACACCTCCTGTATTAGAGTGCCTACACTCAGGATGAAGGAGCACAGGGGCACCTTTGAACAGCAGTTTTGTCAGTCTGGGGGGAGGGGAGTGTTAGATGTACTAGCAGATTTAAATATGTTAACAAACTGAAGCCAAACTGCAGCTCATACCGTAATTACACAAGCAGTTACAGCAACAGGTTTTTTTTTTTTGGAATAAAGGTTTTACATGAATAAATAAAAGCTGATCATTAGAAGCAACCCTATCAGTGGTAAGTGGTTTGTCTCGACACTCCAACTAATAATACTTGCAGGAGAACTTGTTCTATTGTAAAAAAACAACAACTTACTGACCAGATCACCAAGTGAAAACAAAGGAAAGAAGCCTAAAAAAGAAAGATAATGCAGCCAAGACCTGGTAAGCTGCAATATAATAAGTTTGCTTTTGGGTCTAATACCACTT